ACACACACAATAACAGATTTGACATAAAAATGACATAAACATTAACTGGTTGGTTCCTGCCCATTCAATTTTAACAGTGTGAAATTATCCGGGAGGAAATTGTCTGGAGAAAACTTTCCTTTACCGAGAAATGAAGTGAGAGAACTTTCTTCCCGCGAGAATTTCATAAATGATTTAGGCTCGTGGGGTCTGTGTAAACAATGGCCGGTGCTGTTTGTGACCTGTATATAGGGATTTAAAGCGAACATAGCCTGTATATTTAACGTGATTTTAAGTAATTTATAGTTTGTCTAGTTAATGCGATTTTGAGTTAATATAGCCTGAATATTTAACATAATTTGAAGTAATTTACAACCTACGTAAATATAGACGGTATATTTAAAACAATTTTAAATAACTTATCTCCATATATCACCTTTCAGTTAATGATTTAAAAACACAATACCGACAAAACTTTACGAGTTAATGTTAATACCGACATACTTTAGATGTTAATGTTAAAATATAAGACAATAATGTTAGTTATCTTGAGTTATCTTAGGCGTGGTTCCAGAGGAGGAGTCACAGTACAGTAGCTAGCGACCCTCCCAAACTCCCGCTTAGACTAATCCTTCCTTAGTCTACTAATACTGCCGCCACTACTGTGTAAACATGAGAACATTCCAACCACGCCCACACGTCCACCCACCCACCCAGCTACACCCATCATACATATCCACCCATAACACACACCACCCACCTTCCTGGTGTGGTGTCGGTGCCAGAAGGATTTAACGTACAACCAGTGTGTTGACGCTACTACAGTAATTTATACTATCAACACACTCTTACACAATCCCAACACACTCTTACACAATCCCAACACAATCCCGACACTCTTACACAATCCCAACACACTCTTACACAATCCCAACACAATCCCGACACAATCCCAACACAATCCCGACACACTCTTACACAATCCCAACACACTATTACACAATCCCAACACAATCCGACACTCTTACACAATCCCAACACACTCTTACACAATCCCGGCACTCTTACACGAAAATCACAACACACTCTTACACAATCCCAACACACTCTTACACAATCCCAACACAATCCCGACACACTCTTACACAATCCCAACACACTCTTACACAATCAACACACAATCCCGACACACTCTTACACAATCCCGACACACTCTTACACAATCCCAACACAATCGACACATCACTTACAATCCCAACACACTCTTTGAAATCCCAACACAATCCCGACACACTCTTACACAGTACTTACACTCGCACACAATCCCAACACAATCCCGACACACTCATACACAATCCCAACACACTCTTATACAATACCAACACAATCCCGACGCACTCTTGCAGAATCCCAACATACTCTTGCACAAATCCCAACACACTCTTACACAATACCAACACAATCCCGTGCTTACACTCTTGCACAATCCCAACACTCTTACACACAATCCCAACACACTCTTACACAATACCAACACAATCCCGACACACTCTTACACAATCCCAACACACTCTTGCACAATCCCAGCACACTCTTACACAATCCAAACACACACTTGCACAATCCCAACACACTCTTACACAATCTAAAACACTCTTACACAATCACAACACACTCTTACACAATCTGCTTACACTCCTACACAATGACAACACACTCTTACACAATCCCAACACACTCTTACACTATCACAACACTCTTACACAATGACAACACGCTCTTTAATCCAACACTCTTACACTATCACAACACACTCTTACACAATGACAACTTACACTCTTACACAGTCCAGCTTTTGCTCTTACACAATCCCAACACACTTACACAATCCCAACACACTCTTACACAATCCCAACACACTCTTACACAATCCCAACACACTCTTACACAATCCCAACACACTCTTACACAATCAGTATTTTAATACATTAAACAACGTATTTTCCCTGTATACATGCGCCGTCTATGCATACTGTATACCTGCGCCGTCAATGCATACTGTATACCTGCGCCGTCTATGCATACTGTACACATGCGCCGTCTATGCATACTGTATACCTGCGCCGTCTATGCATACTGTACACATGCGCCGTCTATGCATACTGTATACCTGCGCCGTCTATGCATACTATTACACATGCGCCGTCTATGCATACTGTATACCTGCGCCGCCTGTACATACTGTACACATGCGCTGTCCATGCATATAATATACCTGCCAAATCTATACTGTACACATGCGCCGTCTATGCATACTGTATACCTGCGCGCCTATGCATACTGTACACATGCGCAAAATCTATGCATACTGTATACCTGCGCCGCCTATGCATACTGTATACCTGCGCCGCCTATGCATACTACTATACCTGCGCCGTCTATGCATACTGTATACCTGCGCCGTCTATGCATACTGTACACGTCGCCGTCTATGCATACTGTATACCTGCGCCGCCTATGCATACTGTACACATGCGCCGTCTATGCATGCTGTATACCTGCCACTGTGCATACTGTACACATGCGCCGTCTATGCATACACTGTACCATCACCTCGCACCCACCTATATACTGTATACCTGCGCCGTCTATGCATACTAATACCTGCGCCGTCTATGCATACTGTATACCTGCGCCGCCTATGCATACTGTATACCTGCGTCTATGCATACTGTATACCTGCGCCGTCTATGCATACTGTATACCTGCGCCGTCTATGCATACTGTACACATGCGCCGTCTATGCATGCACAATACCTGCGCCGTCTGCCATACTGTACACATGCGCCGTCTATACCTGTATATACCTGCGCCGCCTATGCATACTGTACACATGCGCCGTCTATGCGCCACTGTATGCCTGCGCCGCCTATGCATACTGTATACCTGTACTGGCTATATACGCTGAATCACTATAGCTTATATATGATGATTTTACTGAATAAATACAGCAATCCATCCATCTCTCTCTCTCTCTCTCTCTCTCTCCCTCCCTCTCTCTCTCTCTCTCTCTCTCCAAGAACATAGAGTGAGTGAACAGTTGCTTATAAGTGGCTGGACACAGTGTTGGGGGGACACGTGCTGGTTGGTGTACAGTATTTTGTCACTGTGGCTCCTGAGGCTCTCTAGTGGCGCTGGTAGTGAGAGTGCTGCATCATTGGCCCCTGCTGGCGTGTCATGACGTACACATACTCGCTTACTCACACTCACACAAACTGCTGAGTCTTCCCTCAAGCGTTATGCTAGCTCTCAGACACTTGTTATACGAGTAATAATGAGCGCTTGTTTGGCAGTAAAACAACGACAACAAACACATAACTGCAGTAATGGTTACATAAACAAGTATTATTTCTTTGTTGATATTTTCATTTTAAGTGTTGCTGTGACTTGTTCAGCGAATTCTATGGTGTGTGTGTGTGTGTGCGCGCATGTGTGTGTGTGTGTGTGTGGTATGCATGCCTGTGTGTGTGTGTCGTAGTAATAATGGTGTGTGTGTGTGTCGGCTGCCATATGCCTGTGTGTGTGTGTCGTGGTAATGTATGAGTGTGTGTGTGTGTGTGTGTGTGAGCGCGCATGTGCCTGTGTGTGTGTGTCGTGGTAATAATGAGTGTGTGTGTGTGTGTGTGTGTGTGTGTGAGCGCGCATGTGCCTGTGTGTGTGTGTCGTGGTAATAATGAGTGTGGGAGTGTGTGTGTTATGTGCTGTGGCTGGCAGGTGTCATATTAAATACCCAAAAAGACTTAACTCTTATTTACATGACAAATTATTTATCTTTCAGTCACTTCACTAACTTTTTATGCAATTACTATTTTTTTCAAGTACTTTTCTGTTTATTAAAGAAGGAAATATTTTATTACATTTACTTAGACGTGTTTGTGTAATTCTCAACCCTTTTCAGTAATTTTGGTTGTTTTCGGTATTTAGCATGACCGTCGAAAATACCGAAAACAACTTAATATAATAAATTCTTTTCTTTTTTATTTGTGATCCGTGGAGGCGGTGTTGACCCTAGTGGCTGAGGACCTTGCCGTAGTGGAGTGTTTTGTCTTGAAGATAATAATGTTTTTGTAACGTTTGTGAGGTGGTGGTGGGTCCTGGTGCGCCCTGCCCCTAAACCCTTACTGGGAGCTCACACGCCCTCCCTCAGCTTCTCCCCTGAGCTCACACGCCCTCCCTCAGCTTCTCCCCTGAGCTCACACGCCCTCCCTCAGCTTCTCCCCTGAGCTCACACGCCCTCCCTCAGCTACTCCCCTGAGCTCACACGCCCTCCCTCAGCTTCTCCCCTGAGCTCACACGCCCTCCCTCAGCTACTCCCCTGAGCTCACACGCCCTCCCACACCCCCTCCGTGGAGCTCACACGCCTTCCGTGACGGAGGAAAATAAGCTAAAATTACAGGGGCGAGGCCAGGCAGGGGAGCGGCTACACCAGACAGCCGGTTGGGTCTCTAACACTCGCGACCTTATCTCCAACTTCCTGTTCTTTATCATTTTGTTTCTGTCTACCAAAACCTTCATATCTCTGGCTTGTGTCGTTATCGTTTCTGGGATAACACAATCCAGTTTTCTCGACCCAGCGGCCGCCACATTTCCTGTTAAGTGATAGCGAGGGCGTCGTTCACTGCTCTACACTACACATTTTACCGTCCACTTGGGTTAACTCTTAAAACATTTTCTCTGACTCGTATTAAGTCTTCAATGAAAACGGTTCAGATAATTGATTTACTATGGATATGGTAAGGTGATTATTACTCGTTAATAAAGATGTCAGGATGAACTCTAAAAACGTTCAATAATAACGTAAAAATGTTCACGTTGTATTTAGAACGTTTTTTTTATGTTAAGTGACAAAAAGTTATTCTAGAGCTAAAGCTACAGGAACAATATTCACGGTAGGACCCTGGTAGGACCCCCCCTGGGAGCATCCTACAGCAGGATCCGAGCAACAAGTCCCACTGACTCACCTGCTGGTCCTCCAGATCTCGGTCGTCGAAGGTGATATTGAATTTACTTTTCTCCGCCATTGTTGCCAGTTTCCCGCAAGAGTCGCCGTGTTACTGATTCTTTGTGAGCGATTTGTAGAGAAATGAGGTCGGCCCAAGTCAGTACTTACTGCGGGCTCCACGCGTGACAAACCTCTCTGATTATCAAACTTGGGTGGCGTGGCGTGGTGATGTGAGTAAACGTTGTACTAAGTGATTCACTAAGCAGTAGACAGGGAGGCACTTGAGAGTTTATATATCCTAGAGGAGTGTTTCAGTGTTGTGTCGAGTAGCGTGGCGTCAGCAGGGAGCAGCTAGATGTGAGCTCTTCCTCGTTCGCGCGCTGATTCTCGACTGAGCCTGACTCGTCAGGCAGTCACCCAGACCCCAGCACTCCCTCCTACTTCGATCACTAGCGCTCCCCCCCTCCCTCCAATCTTTCCCTCCCCCCTCCTTCTCTCCCACTCTTCTGGCTGCTGCTCTTCACCTTTTCTCTCTCTCTCTCTCTCATGTTCGGCTTCTGCTGATGGGGGAAGACCTGGGAAACAATGAGGAGTGGGGAAACGAAAACGTATAACGGAGATGAGAAATACGAGGGGGAAAAACTCGCCATTTGCCGACCAGAGCGTAAGATGGCTGAGGTGTATCACTCACACACCAAACTAAACTTGAAGGGAAAAACTACATTAATACCAATTTTTATCATTATATACTGAAGGTGACGGCGAGAGACCACAAGACAAAACAAGTGACAGTCGGGATGAATACGAGAGGATAAAACAGTAAATAAAATAGATGAATTAACAGGAAGGAGAGATAATTTAGAACGAACAATGGCATGAAAAACGTGAAAATTTTAGCACAGACAAGAAGAGAGAAGCCCTTAAGAATGTTAGGAGAGAGAGAGAGAGAGAGAGCAGCTCCTTTAGGAAAATTCTGGGGACAAGACACCGTCGGATTCACAGAAGAGCTCCATAACGCTCATAATTATGAGAGAGCCATTATGAAAAGGCCATCTAAGAGGGCCCTTATGAGAGAGCCGTTATGAGAAGGCCATCTAAGAGGGTCCTTATGAGAGGGCCGTTATGAGAAGGCCATCTAAGAGGGCCCTTATGAGAGGGCCGTTATGAGAAGGCCATCTAAGAGGGCCCTTATGAGAGGGCCGTTATGAGAAGGCCATCTAAGACGGCCCTTATGAGAGAGCCGTTATGAGAAGGCCATCTAAGAGGGCCCTTATGAGAGGGCCGTTATGAGAAGGCCATCTAAGAGGGTCCTTATGAGAGGGGTTGTAGAAGGCCAACTAAGAGGGTCCATGAGAGGGCTATTGGTGAGAAGGCCATCTAAGAGGGTCCTTATGAGAGAGCCGTTATGGAAGGCCATCTGAGAGGGTCCTTATGAGAGGGCCGTTGGGAGAAGGCCATCTAAGAGGGCCCTTATGAGAGGGCCGTTATGAGAAGGCCATCTAAGAGGGCCCTTATGAGAGGGCCGTTATAAGAAGGCCATCTAAGAGGGTCCTTATGAGAGGGCCGTTATGAGAAGGCCATCTAAGAGGGCCCTTATGAGAGGGCCGTTATGAGAAGGCCATCTAAGAGGGCCCTTATGAGAGGGCCGTTATGAGAAGGCCATCTAAGAGGGTCCTTATGAGAGGGCCGTTATGAGAAGGCCATCTGAGAGGGCCGTTATGAGAGGGCCGTTATGAGAAGGCCATCTAAGAGGGCCCTTATGAGAGGGCCGTTATGAGAAGGCCATCTAAGAGGGTCCTTATGAGAGGGCCGTTATGAGAAGGCCACCTAAGAGGGTCCTTATGAGAGGGCCACCTGAGAAGGCCTTTATGGTAGGGTCACCTGGGAGGGCCTTTATGGTAGGGCCACCTGAGATGGCCTTTAGGAGAGGGCCACCTGAGCGACATTATGAAAAGGGAGACCTGAAGGTAACAGGAAGCCAACTGACGGAGTGACCAGAGAAGACCTAAGGGGGATCATCTCAAGGAGGACCTAAGGTAAGATCATCTCAAGGAGGACCTAAGGTAAGATCATCTCAAGGAGGACCTAAGGGGGGATCATCTCAAGGAGGACCTAAGGGGGGATCATCTCAAGGAGGACCTAAGGGGGATCATCTCAAGGAGGACCTAAGGAGGGATCATCTCAAGGAGGACCTAAGGAGGGATCATCTCAAGGAGGACCAAAGAAGGAGGAGGAAGAGATTGGAGAGAGAATGAGGATGTGGAGGTAAGAAAGGAGAAGGAGAAGGAAGTGGGAGAGAGAGAAGAAGAAAGAGAAGGAGGTGGGGGAGAGAGAAGAAGAGTGATAAACGTGGGGAGTAATGGTAAGGATGAAATACTGGGGGCATAAAACGTGGTGGATAATTGACATAAAAAATTAACTGGGGGATGGAATAGAGCCAAGGAGAGAGAGAGAGAGAGAGAGAGAGAGAGAGAGAGAGAGAGAGAGAGAGAGAGAGAGAGAGCAGAAGAGAAGAGAAAACGAGGGAGAGAATGAGAAGGTATAAGAAGGAAGAATAAGAAGTGTGGTAACATAGAAGGAAACAATATGATAAATAGATGAATAAAGGAGAGAAGCAGGAGGTACAGGGGGAGAGCGATAGTAGGTCTGGCACTGTATACTATAGGTTTCCCTCCTCCCCACCTTTCGCAACACGTCTGCCAGCCACATCATGTCAAGTCCCGGATATTGGTAACCCCTTCCCACACACACACCCACCCACCACATGCGCACACACACACACACACACATACACGGGCCAACCTGCTTACCGAGGTATTTTGGTTCACTATGATATCAACGGTACACGTAAAGTATCTTGACTCAGGGATAGTAACCGCTGAATTATGACGTTCAACAGCGATTTCCTCAACGTGTTTTTATTTTGGTTGAGGAAATTCGCCAAGTTTGCTAATCTCTCGTCCGCAGTGTTTACGTTTCAGCGTTCCAATACTCTAAAACATCTCCCTGCTGACTTAATTTTGATCTTAATTTACGGTGAGGTTGGAGATATCAAGAGCTAGTTATGTGTGGCAGAGTTAATAATATTAGGATAACAACAGGTGAAGCTTCAGGTCTAATCCCTCACACTAAAATGAGAGATCCACAACTATGCCAGTCAGGTGATACCGCTCCAGTTCTCTCTACTACCCTGTGAAATGAGGTTAGGTTAGGTTCAGGTGGGTCCCATAGGCATGATAGTGTGTACACAAGGCCGGTACTGCACTCCACCCGCCTCCACTTCCCCAAATTGTAAAGTTAGGTCTTGTACCCATTTACAGCTGGGTGAACTTGGAGTGCCCGGTGGATCGAACCACTGACTCATGGGACACGAGGCGAGCGCTGTATTCGCTCGACCACGAAGTTATATAGGGTGTCTTGAATTTGGTTAGATTCTCCTTAGTTTGGTTAGATTAAAGCCTTTTGTTACCGCAAGCGGTACATAATTATGATGACATATAAACAAACGTTATGTTAGGCTGTAACTCATGTCATGTTTATTGGGCGTGCCTGCCCGTGTGCCTGCCCGTGTGCCTGCCCGTGTGTACTGTAGAGTGTTGAGATGAGAGGCCAGGAGGCGTGCCTGCCCGTGTGCCTGCCCGTGTGTACTGTAGAGTGTTGAAAATGAGAGGCCCAGGAGGCGTGCCTGCCCGTGTGCCTGCCCGTGTGTACTGTAGAGTGTTGAGATGAGAGGCCCAGGAGGAGGGTGGAGGGTGTGAAGGGAGTTTGTTTATATGTTATCATAATTATGTACCGCTTGCGGTAACACCTTTTATACTTTTATAATTTGTATTAATTTACTCCAAAGATCTTCATAAATACCTAACCATCTTTCCTGTATGTAGCGTCAATATTATTTTTGTCCATTTAAGATTAATATCATTTCCCTGGCTGTCAACTCGGGACATCCAGTGAAGCCACACACAGATACTTAACTCTTATGTATTAGGCTGGAAACATGTGTCCATCCCCTTTAGTACGATGACTTTACCCCTGCGTACGATGACTTTACCCCTGGGTACGATGACTTTAGCCCCTGCGTACGATGACTTTACCCCTGCGTACGATGACTTTAGCCCCTGGGTACGATGACTTTAGCCCCTGCGTACGATGACTTTACCCCTGCGTACGATGACTTTAGCCCCTGGGTACGATGACTTTAGCCCCTGCGTACGATGACTTTACCCCTGCGTACGATGACTTTACCCCTGCGTACGATGACTTTACCCCTGGGTACGATGACTTTAGCCCCTGCGTACGATGACTTTACCCCTGCGTACGATGACTTTACCCCTGGGTACGATGACTTTAGCCCCTGCGTACGATGACTTTACCCCTGCGTACGATGACTTTAGCCCCTGGGTACGATGACTTTAGCCCCTGCGTACGATGACTTTACCCCTGCGTACGATGACTTTACCCCTGCGTACGATGACTTTACCCCTGCGTACGATGACTTTAGCCCCTGAGTATGATAACTTTACCCCCCGAATAAGACAACGTTATCCAATGGGTATAATGTACTCTTACTTTAGTCATTGTACGCCAGTGATTGTTATCGTACTCCAGTAGTTAATTCATCGTACTCCAGTGGTCAAGTTATCTTCAACGAATGAGAACAAGGACAAGATGACTTTGAAGTTACCTAAGACACGACAACAAGACCTTAGCCTCCTCGACAGGAATTCCTCAAAATTGTGTTTAGTTTACCAAGAGAGAATCAGTGGCCCATTTACACAAAAGTCTGGCAGCGGTTCAGGCCTGCCGAGATTAGACACATTCTTATATATTTTTTGTCTTACTAAACCGACTCTCACTGGATTCTACCCTAACCTACCCTAACCTAACCTAACCTAACCTAACCTAACCTAACCTAACCTACCCTAACCTAACCTACCCTACCCTAACCTAACCTAACCTAACCTAACCTAACCTAACCTAACCTAACGAGGGTGGGTCTGCTCCTGGGAGGAATATTTCACTATTGTTTCCTTATCAGCTTATCTTTTATACAGTTTAGTGCCTCACTGTATACAACAGGGAGGATTGACTTTATACAGTGAGTTGCCAGTGACGTGGGTGAGGGGGGGCAGTGACGTGGGGTGAGGGGGGTGACGTGGGGGGGGGCAGTGACGTGGGTGAGGGGGGGCAGGGAGAGAGAGAGAGAGGGAAGTGACATAGGGGTGGGGGCAGTGACATGGGAAGAAAGTGATATGAAGGGGGGCGGAGGTCGTTGAACAAAACCTTTCATATGAGGAAGTAAAAGGAACGGAAAGTGAACACACACACACACACACACACACACACACACACACACACACACCGTCTTGTAATCCCATCATGTAACTCTATGGTTTCCTTCACACACCAAT